ACAATAAAATTATTAATATATATTTAGAAATTAAATTTTAGAGTTAAATACAATTATATTGTCAATAATGACAAAACTTAACCCACTATTAACATCAAATCACATTCTCGATACAGAAAATGATGAAGGTGTGACGAAACTTAGTTTCATTTCTGGTAAACTTCAAATTTACCATTTCCACAGAGCAAAGAATAAAACGACACGCTAAATCATACAAAAATCTTTCAACTCTAAAGCATCCCATCCAATCAATCTCTAATCTACCCCTTCCAAATAAAAAGAAAAAAAAAAAAAGAAGAAAAGTAGTAACCTTGTAGCGAAAAAAGCGCGAAGAATGCATAAACGACGTCCTTGGTGGCGTGCACGAAAATCTGACGTTTAAATCGAACACAAGCAGAACGGTACGGTCTCCTAATAAAAGCGGACCAGAAACGTGGCAATTTCACGCGTTAGCCTCGATTGACTCGGATCGTTTTCGTGATCACGAATCCGCTATAACCGGCCTGACGTCTCCTCGTCTGATTTCACACATCGGGAACGTGTTCGAGGTGTCCTTGTAATTTATCTTCCTCGAACTTTCTAGAAGAATTCACGGTGCTCGAGGCAGCCGTCGACGTTGAAGAGAGGACGGCCAATGAAACAGCGACGAAAAGGATTCCGGCCGAGTAGAAAGTTCTATGATGAGGCGCATTTGCATAAGTCGACGGCAACGAAAGTGGAAACCACCGCCTTGGTTATCCCCCACTGATTTTCGAGAACATCCGCACCGATTTCGATCACCTGAACAACCGTGACATAACCGAAGGAGTTACGCTTTTCTGGCCCCGTCGAAGAATTCACTATGGGCGGTCTGCATGAACGCGATTAGACGCTGGGACACAACCGTAGGAGATATCTGCAGATGGATTGAAAATTCTTCGCTTTTCCGCGATCCTCGAAATCTCGCGATTTTTCACCGATAACTAGACTGCGAATTTTTAATGCATTTATGGAACATTTCAAGGCACAAAGATACACAGGATACACATAATAAAATCTCCGTAGCTTCTATTTCTTTTTTTAATTATATTCAGAAAAATATGAATTTGCAGAAAATTTCGCGATCTACCGATAACACTTTTCTTATCGATATCCGTTAACATCGGTAGGTACAGTTCAATAATCGACGAGTTTCGACGATTTTTCTTTTCTTTTGGATTCAATTTTTTCTTTTTCGAGAACGCGAAGGTTTAATTTTAGATGAGGTATTTAAGATTGAAATCTAGTCGCAGGTAAGAATTTCACGTTCGGTTCGCAACTTTCAAACGCAATTCGAAATTCTTGTCGGCCAGGTGTTTGGCGTGTTTCTCAATCGATGTGTGTTATTAAAACGGGAAACGAACAGTGACGATATTTTATCGTAACACTGTCAATCGTCGAATCTTCTCGTCGATTTATCGTATATAAATTTGTCGGTTTTATCATCGTGTAGGATCCTGAAAGCTTTAATGGAATTCATGGAAGCTGAACGTGTTTTCTCGTCTCGTAGCTCGTGAAGTTATACGGTTTTTCGCATGACGTCACGGTTTCGTAGAAATCGATATGTCTTAAAATTTTATTATGTCCGACTCCCGATGAATATGCATGCGGAAGCACAGATTTGCGAGGAACAGGTTCGCGTCCCCGAGAACGCGCCAACTGGAAAACGCCGGATTCGACCAATGGGAAATTCGATTCTTTCCTTTCTTATTTTCATTTCGATTAGCGCTAACAAGCTTCCCTGGAAAGTAAGCACTTCTCTTTCGATACATATTCGTCTTTGAACGATAAACAAACTTCGAAGGAAACGCTAGAATGTAAGAAAGAATCGGGCGAATTGAAATCTTCGATTTATTTTTCGTCAATTTTACGTGCCAGTGATTGAACGATTAAGCGAACAATCCGAGCGAATAATGAAATCACTTTCGGTTATGTTGTAAAAGAGAAAACATTGATTAGATGATTGCAGCGAAGTAAAGGAACGAAAACGGTGTTTCAGCAGCAATTAAGATATCCAGTAAAGTACCAGGCGGCGGATTTTTCAATTTTCGAACAGGTGACACGGATCAATTTACTATTCCTTGACGGATATTATGGGACAGGTACCCGCAGAAACGACCACGGAAATCGGTGTTCTACTTTTAAACTGGTAGGATCTAGTCGTAATATCGAAGTCTCGCAGGATATCACAGGTGATCGCTACCATTTCTCTTCTGTTTGCTTCATCGGATCTTACGTTTCGCGTTATGGAACAGCGGCAGTCTTCTCTTTAATCCCTTCGTTCGTAATTTCACCAAATTATAAACTACTTTTTACACCAAGTCAGCTAATTACAATGGTTGATACCAAAGATTCTATCTTAATTTCCGTGCTAATCGTGTAGAAAGTGAAAGGTGGATCTAGTTACCCATATTTAGAAGATAATGGTAAATTGAATGGTAAAATGATTGAATTCTCAAATTTGATTAACTTGTACGACAAATTTGACTGTACAACGATAAACAATTCGAATAAAATATATCGCAGAACGGACGATCAATTTTAACGTGTAAATTCTCCAGGGAATTGAAAATTTTCAATACAGAAATTTTGACAAGGTGTGAGACGTCTCCTGTTCTTTGCAATCTCAAACAGGAGAGCGTGAAGTAATTCGAATTTCGGTACTTTTCGCGCGAAAATCCGGCAAAGCGAGCGTGTTGAATAAAATCGAACTCGCCTTTCGATAATCGTGATCAGGTTGTTTGCTCTGGACGATATTCGAGAACCAGCGGAGGATCTGCCAAAGTCACCGAAGAAACGCTAGACGAGCATTCCGTGCCGCAGAATGCTCACACCCACGAGAACTGCTTCTAAACCGGTAGAATCCAGTTGGTAAAGCGATTTATAATCCTGAAGTAAACTCATACAGTGCGTTAATTATATCGATCGGTGCTGAAAACATTTTCAAAGTGTCTCTGAATTTAAATCCGCCGATTAAGAAACCAGTTCTCGTACCAATTCCACCATTTCTCTCCGCCGTTCGTTCTTTTATCATTTTTTCTCCTCCCTCCCTCCCCCTTTTTCTCTTTCTTTCTTTCTTTCCTTCCGTCCCAGCCGGGACAGTTCTCTCTGTCGTTCATTTTTTTCACACGATATCCAACCCGGTGGACTGAATTTCGTGGCGTGACGCAATCAATTTGCTATTCGAGCCTAGTCCCGGCTTGCCAGCAGCGTTACGCAGAAGAAAAGTCAATGGAACGTTGGTTGAAATTGAAATCGACGCGCATCTCGCGGAACGGAAACTCGGAGTCGAACTTTCTTGAAATCGAGATTAACTACTTGCTGTGGAATTTAATCGAACGTGATTCTTGAAATCTGGATCGTTCAACAGGTGTCGGTAATCTTGTCTCCTTGTGTCCCGCCAAATACACAGTTTTCTTATACTTTCGTTAAATAAATTTCTTCAAATTTGTACAAGTTTCAAACACTGTCGCTTATTTAGCATAGAAAATATATGAGGATTTCGAGACGTGATCTGACATCAAAGGGTTAAATTTGACTGTTGCTTTAAGTAAGCTTAATTGAAAAAGAAGGGGGAAAATTTTAGCATTCGGTGTTGGTCTATCTTGGAACAAATTCAAAGGCGTAGTTAATATGACTGAAATAAACGTATTCAACCATTTGAATAATATCGAAAAGTATCGAATTATTATTCATCGAACGTTTAATATTCCAACAGAATTAAATCGCGAAAAACTTTGACACGGTTTTCAATAATCTACAAGAATTTATAGACACGTTTCAACATGAAGCAGGCCACTCAAACTAGTGAAGTGTAACACAGCGAAGCATAAACAGCCGGCCGTAGCAATCCAAACAAAAATCACTTCTCCATGTAAGAAGCTGCTTGATATGAAAATAGCAGCCGAATGGCAGCCAGCGCGGCGCGCGAACCAAACGAGCTGCGATCGCAGAACCTGTAAACCTTCGAGACCGAAACATTCTGACTGATTATATCGATCAATTCTAAGGATCGTCGAAACACCATAGAACTAAACGTCATTCTAAAAGTTCACACAGACGACATTTTCAACAACTACAACGTTATTCCCACCTACAATCGACCATTCCTCGTACAGGTACACCTATTTACCTGGCGTAAACGCGATGACAGAAACGAGAGGGACAGATGAACAGACGTGTACGTAAAGTAAGTACCATATCTACGACGAAACGGAGATGTATCTACGGTAGCGCGCGCGACAGAAGGAAACAGTAGTGTATGTAGAGAGAGGCAAAGAACAGAATAATGACTTACTGTGCGCGGCAAAGGTCATGATGACGTCGCTCTGGTCGATGGCCCTGAGATCCTGACCGGTGAGGTCGAACTCGCCGGCCCTACGTTGCTCGGCGATCGGCTTTTCGTCCTCGTCCTCGCCAAGAGCGTTCTTGTATATGTCCAGGAGAAACTTGGGCGCCGACCTCTTGACCTGCGGCGGCCTACCGGCCGTGTTCCTCGGCCGATCCGGCAGCCCGAGTAGATTCAATATCTCATGCTCGACCTCGCGTTTCTCCCGTTGGCTGACCACCCTATGGACGATCGTCTGATCGAAACCGTTGTCGACGTAGAGGCCGCTCATCCTGTCCGCGGCGGCGGTGCTCGTCAGCTCGGCGAGGATCGTCCCGAGGATCAGCAGGGGCGCGAGACGGCGCGGCGACATCTCGGCGCGTCTTTCCGCTCGAGATCGACACGGCCCGGAAGGCACCATTCTACCTCCCGCCGCTTCCACCACCACCTCCACCAGCACCACCTTCCCCTACGCCACCGCCTCCTCCTCCTCCTACGTCGGCGTTCACACGACGACGACGTCGTCGTCGTCGTCGTCGTTCCTATCGAGCCACCAACGTGAACGCCGAGGTGGACCGCCGCCGAGGCGATCGAGCTGCGATCCAACAACTGCGGGATCGATCGATCCTGTATTCGGGATCCTCTATCGAACAGATCGCTATGCGAGCAAACAGAAGAACCGCGCACTCCTTAGATTACTATTCCCGACGAGCGTGTATACAAGACGAAAATAGAGCGTATCGTCGAATTATCCCTCGATCTTTTCTCCCGTTTATTTCGATCTCTACACTGTCTTACTTCGTACCGTTTATTTATCCCTTTTTCTCCTATATATCCTCCCCTGTACGATCACTTTAATTCCTTCGGGATAGAAGTTTATCGATCGGGAACGATCGAAACGCCGCCGCGTGTGTGTTTGTACAGTATTCCCGAAGATTGTTCAGTTTATCTCGCAACAATAATTCCCCCCGGACACCCGGTCCACTTCTCTTTCCCGCTGTCCCAAGTTATCCGCACACGCAACGAGAGCAGAGCAGAGAGTAGAATGGTGTGTGATCGACGGTCGGTTCGCGAAGCTTATCCGATCGTGTACGTTCCTCTTCTTCTTCTTCTTCTGGTTTTTCTTCTTCTTCTTCTTACTGCGATCTCGGATCGAAGAGGCACATAGTAGCGCGCACTTTGACCGTGGAGCGATTTAAAGGATAATACACGGCGCGCATGTTCGCGCAAAACGCGCACGGCTGACTCTCGAGAGAGAGACCGTCTCGGTGACCACCGGTGACCACTGCCGCCGACTCCCGCGATGCCAGTGCCAGTCTGTTTGTCTGGCCCGTGCCGTGCACCTCCTCGTCGTCGCTGCTCCTCCGCGAGGCCTCACCACCGCCTCCCAGGGCCGTACCGCTCCTCCGACAGAGCCACGCCTCGCTTCGCCTTCCTCTGCCTTTGCCTCTGGCTCGCGTTGCCTCGCTTCACCTCGCCTCGCCTCGCCATCACTTCGCCTCGGCTACGTCTCACCGCTCGCGCCCCTCTTCGATGTGCCTCGCCTCAACTCAACTCGCCTCGCCTTGTCTTGCCTTCCTTGCCTTGCCTCGGACTCACCTCGCATCGCCTCGCATCGCTTTTGCCTTGCCACGCCGGTAGCCACGCGTACATACTGATCCTCTCTTCTTTTCCCCGTCCTCCTCTTCCACCTCCTCCTCCTCCACCACCTCCTCCTCCTCTTCATCCTCCTCCACCTCCTCTTCGACGCTTCGCGCAACCCTCTGGCCCTCTTCGTTCGCATCTTGTCACTCTCGCCACGCTTCTTTTCGCCTCCTTCCTCGCCCGGCTACGCTGTCACGATCTTTGCCCAAGTTGCTCACTGACTTGTGGATTTTTCATCACTTAACCTGCCCGGATACCCTCAGATGCTTCACCACCATTTTTTTTTTTTCTTGCGAGTCGAGAGGAAGGTGTCGGGTGATCGATGAAAGATCGATAAAAGTGTCGCAACTTTTCAACTGGTCACCTTTTCAAGGGTGAAGTGAAGATTTGCAATCTTTTATTCCAATAAAATTAATTTACCCCATAGGCGGTGCTGCGTTAACACCCTAATTAATCCAATTAAAAATTTCCATAATTTATTTTATCCCTTGGAGTCCCGATCACCATTTTCCTCCAGTTGGTCCATATTCAAACCACGTTCAAAAACCGAAGGAAATCTCTTGAAACGGAGCAACGTCTCCAACTCTAAGCGCATGAGAGCGCAAAGGGTTCGTTGAAAGGGGTACCATCGTTACTTATACACAGCAATGATCGCGATCCATTCGACGGCTATTAAGTAACAGGACGAGGTATAAATACAAATGAGCGTGCGTGTGCGTGTAACGCGTTAAACAAGAAAAGGGGAATGTATGGTTGTGCGAATAAGCGTGTCGTATAGATAATATGTTCGATATCGGCGAATCAGAGAGCACGATATCGGAGAGATGGCCGTTGATAAAGTGAGCCGCGAAAATGAAGGATAGCCGGTGTAAAGTGAAAACGTTCCCGCTCACGATTAGATTGTTCGAGGAGCGGAGTGTGGTGTTGCGTACAACGCTTGTCGCACGCCTAACGTGGCATTCGTGGAATGTTGCATGTAATACCAGATGTTTGCAAGGTTCCGAAGAGGTTCGCGGACGTGCGTTACAATGTAACTTATTGCGTAATGGAAGGCTGATGTCGTTTAAACGCGGGGAACAGAGCCAACCTCTGGAATTTAATCCGCATCCAAACGGTTGGTCCCCGCGCAACAAAATTCTGCAAGCAGCCGCGTCGACGCGACCCTGCGGACACGCGACGATTGCAAATTTGATTTACTTTCACTGGGACCGTTTGCAACCTTTTCGCTCGCGCGCTAAAAAGTAATAAACAACGAGAGGAAAATGGAACGCGGGACATTGAGCTCGAGCGAGGAGTACAGCTTTTTCCGATTAGACAAATCGGTCATTTGGGAAAATTTGATTTTCCATTGGAATATTTCTTTAGTTTCAGGTATGTAGATGTTTGCGAAAATGTTTGGAAACTAGAAAAAATTATTTCGACTAGATTTCACTCAAAATTAGTGCTTTTTTAAGTATTCTTTCGTTCAAACGAAGAAATAAGGAAACGAGACAATAACGGTGAACCGAAAGAAACTCGAAAAAAATGTAAAAACACATTTAGCAACACTTTGATATCGCTTATCGCTATAAAAAGGGCGAAACCTGTTGCTCTCGCCGTGCGATATAAATTTCATCTCTTCTCTTCGGACAAACTCGTAACTTTCGTAAACGTAACGACCACCGTTAACGAAGAGAAAAAAAAAATAATAAAATCCTTCTTGTTTGAACGTATTTGCGCAGAGAAAGAGAGAGAGAGAGAGAGAGAACAGTATATCTGCTGGTCGAATTAAACGTTCGTTAATCTCACTTTTCCTCGTTCGCTTTTACGATCGTTGCACGGCCGTAAACGCGCCGAAGAAAACTTTCCATTCGTACGCATGGGAAAAACAAAAAGAGACGAAAAAAAAAAAGACAAATTATACATTTGGTGAAACGAGTACGTAGAAACAGTGGTACACGACGAACGAGATCTCGTTTCAGCTCTAAAACGAAATTTTCTCTCCCCGGATCCATTGAATTTTCGAAGGCATTTGCACGTCCCTGGGTCATAGAGATAGGACCGCCCCTGCCGAAGAAGTAGGCGGCGTTCACCAGCCCTGATCGTTGGTATTACTCGGCTCTCTAACGTGGTGCCGGAGATCAGGGTTAGCGAAGAAACGGCGTGCGATGGCGGCCGACCGAACCTGGACATTCTTCCACTTTTTCAACCCCTTGGATCTTTATCAGCACGCCATCAAGACCAGTTGCAGGCAATTTCCGCCCGATAACCGCACAGTCGCGTAACCATTGCCGATACTTTCCACCGGAGAAAATTGTTCTCCGTTTCCGGTCGGAGGAATGCGGAGAGACGTCGCTCGAGCGAAGAAAATCACCACGAAAGCGTGCACAAGATACATACGACGGGGAACCGGCAACGAAAAATGTACCTTGTCACACACGGTTAATGCACACCTTCGTCGAGAATTTGTTTACAGGCTGTTGTTCGGTAACGCCGGCGGGATGGTATGCAGGCGGTTGACACGAAAGTTGGCCGTACGAGGAATTCCTTTCGAAGATACGCGCCTCGACACATTTATTTTTGGAAACGCTCGTCTTCGTCCCCCGCTGTCGATTTCGATAGTGTGAAAGAACGTTTCGAGAGAAAAAAAGGTGATTCGTATACTCCTAATTCGACGGAACCGGTGTTTCTTACACTCTGCGGGTTTCTTTTTCACAATTGTTTCGGTCTTCTGTCGATCCTGATGGCACGAAAATGGTAACGAACGGAAACGTAGAAATTCGTAGAATTTGGAGGATTGAAAAATTGATTTGCCTTTCGACAATTTTAGAAACTTCCCCTCGAAAATTCCAATAGCTAAAAACTTCTTTTTTTTTTTTTTTTATAAGTTTCAACTTATCGACTAACAATTCCGGTGAAATAAAATTATCGGTCTAAAGTGAGCTAGGTGAGTGTTAAACGATATTTAGTAGCTTTTCGAATGTAATAAAAGAGCGACTACATTATCACAAATTATTCACTTCACCGCACCTGTACCTTACTACATATTCACATCTAGGACGTGATTTCTTGTTCTTTACAACGAAACACGTTGCATCGGAATATACGAGTAACATAAATCATCGTGCAAAACACATCCTAAGTAGCTCGTAACTATAACAGCTAAGCGCTACCAATATTTTCATCGAAGTTACAGCTCGTAAAATCAAGGAGCAAACATATGCAGGCTGCGAACAAAGAGACGAATCCTGCGGAGGATCGAACTCTTTAACAGCTCGAGATACACGTGTGGTACACGCGTAGCTGATCGTGATACGTTCAGATAATCAAAATCTTGGGAATTTTTTAATAGAGACAGGAGAAAAAATAAGTCGCGTGTCATATTCATGCGCAACCAGCCATAAACGTAGAAGGGGTCGGGGTGGGCGGACGACGGTGAAAGCGAATCTGAGTCGGTAGTATCATTAATCTGCCAATAAAGTCAGCGCGAGGCTTGTAATATCCAGTTTGTTTGTAAGAAATATTTGTTTACCGGACAAAATTTCTTCGGCGATGGACAGTCTCTCTCTCTCTCTCTCGCGAGCCGGCAAAAAACGAAATTAAAAAGCAACGAGAGAGAGAGAGAAGTAAAAAAGAAGGTCCTCCTTAACGTCTCTCTCTGCTTGAGGACCTCTAGAAAACACGCGACAGCGGCCGCTGACTGGCTGTAACATTTTCGTGTTACCTTTCTAAAGAAATTTCCTCGTCGATGAATAATGCAGTAGCAAATAGAAATTCGCCAGATATTTTTAAACGTGGTATCAAGAGATTTTTTTCTCCTTCGCCGCCGCCCGTTCCTTTCTATCCGGACGCGGATTTTGCCGTGCCTCGATGGCGTTGCTGAAAAGTGCCGATATTCGCGGGATACGATCGTTTCTTTTCAAGTTTCACCTGATAACCGTGTACAGCTTCGCGGAGCATTTACATCTATATAAAAAATCCCTAACACTTCCAATCGAACGGTCGAAGTTCGTCTGAATCTCGACACGTTTATTCGCTACCTGAATAATCTCGTGGGAAAATTAGTCTGTACGAAAGATGCAGGAGAGAAAAATAAGTGCGGTTGGAACGGGTCGAGAAGAGGGAATATATCGGTTGACAACTCCATTTCCTAGCGACGACACTCTTCAAGTTCTACTTCGGCCGCGCGAACAACTGGAACGGCTGCATGCGACAAACATTAAGCACATACCAGCGTGTTCCTCTTACAGGTGTCCGACACACGCACACCGGTCCCCGCGTATCCCGCAATGCTCGGATCTCGATTCCACGGAGATAATCCTGAAAGCATCTCTCCGCGGAGGGATTCCATTATCGACGCATACCGGCTCACCCAATACAACGTTGGTAGGCTTACAGCCCTGGCTCGTCATTCTGCACGTCCGTGGATGGGAACTCTCGGAGAAAAGCAAGAGATGCTGCAGTTCACTCTTCGTCCCTCTCTGTCTCCTCTCCTCCCCACCTCCTCGTCATCACTCTCTCTCTCTCTCTCTCTGGTTTCGTTCAGCACACTCTCTTTCTCGACTGACCAACAGCAACGGAATAAATAAAGTAAATAGGGGAATATAGGAGGTAAATAAAAAATGTGGCAGCAGAGAGAGGAAGGCGCGAGAGAGGGGTGGGACGAAGGGTGGGAGGGAGGAAGAAAAAGAGAGTTAAAGGGAAAAAGGGAGAGGATAGGAGAGAAAGGGAGAGGGAGAGGAAGGGAGAGTGCCTTCAGGGCGAATTCCCGTCGAGCATCGGCCGCTGCAGAATCCAGAGGTGCGTTCACCGGGGAAATCCCTCCCTCGGAGATTATCCTCTCTCGAAGAAAACTCGACGAGTCCGCATTTTTAGGCGCGCTGTTTCGCGATCCGCTGATCTGCGCTTTTCTTTTTTTTTTTTTGGAAAATGCAAGTATGCGCTTGGATTTCGAGCGACAATTCCGAATTGAGTACCGCGATTAAAAAACAAGAAAACGTTCGTTCACTAAGATTTATTAAGCTTCAATCGAGTTACAGAAGTGATCGTTCCGCGTTGTGATTTTGCCGTTTCGTGGAGAGAAAGGAGAATCGAAGAAAGACACCCGACGTTACGTCTACGATTACCATAAACCAGAGGTAGAGTGTATCTTCGCTGAATTCTTTCTTACGCCGATCCGTACGAAACGATACGAATCTCTACAGAGTTCCCTCGGAACGAAATACTAATTGTGGCCCATTAAGGCAGTGAAACACGTAACCGCCTGACGACGATCGCTCGGTTTGGTACGGGCGCTAGATCTCCGGGACACCGGTGTGGTGGTGCTGTCTCTCCCGTAAATAATTTGAAGGTTCGAGATGAGAAACGGATGGAATCGGCGATACGCGATGACGAATTTAACCACGCAGAAAACCGATCAGCCGTACCGTAACGTACGACATATCTCTTCCCAGAAATCATCTCGAGGCGATCTACCGGTGAACGGTCGTCTCTCTTTCTCTGTCTCTCCGCCGGTCGAGTCAGGCCGGCCCCTCGTGTGTCCCTGTTGCGTTAGTTGGCCAGGTCGGTGCCAGGGAGTCTACCGGCGATAACCAGCTGCGCGTCGTACCGGTAGACTGCCTGCTGCCTCCGGCTGCTCCGGGGACCCTGGGACCGGTTATACTTGACCCAGCGGTTTACACGCGCTTGCCGCCGCCAGCACCACCACCGCCGAGGCCGGATCGCACCGCTACCGAAACACATACCTACATTGCCTGGACAAACTCCAGCACACTTGGTTAGCTCGCTCTCGCTCCCTCTCTTTCTCTCCCCCCACTCTCTCTCTTTTTCTTTCCCTCTCTCGTACAATCAACGATCACCGGACCGATACACGCTACCTCAATTCGCCTCACTCCACACTCTGGCTCACCCTACTCTTTTTCCTTTTTCCCGCGTCCAATATTTGTAGGCTTATTTTTACATATGAAGAATTTAACGACTTCTTCGTCGAGTTACTAGAGTAGGCCCTGCTGGATGTCGATCGAACACGTTACTCGAGGAGATCCGTGGGGCAACAGTGGACCGCGATCCGTTCAATTTCGTTAGGAACCGAAGAAAAATCTCGCGACACGGAGAACGCCTCTATATCTTTAGATTAAAACTACTGTACGGTGTTGGTTATTTTTTTTTTGTTGTTGTTTGTAATTTAATTCTTGTTGTAGATTTTCTTGATTACAACGAATTCGTAGACGAACATGCGTAGAATTAATAGTATAGTTTAATGAAACGTGCTTGCGAGAAGTCAATTGTTCGTGGGACTTCTTTTTTGAATTTGCAAGATTAACTTCGTACGTTATTTCGTACTGCTAATTTATATCGTAGGGCACTTACAGGTAATATGATAATATTAACTTAAAACTATGTACAGACACCGTATATTCTTTACGGCAGTTATTTCACTTAACATATTTCTCCATAAATTTGCGGTGAAATTCGCTTCTTAACGAATCGTTTATGAACATATCGTGCTTCTTCTTCGGTTCGGAACGAGCACAATTTTTGAAAACAACGTCGTCGTCCCATCGCCGTCTAACTTTCATATCTGTTCTTCCACTCTGAGATGAATAATTTAATAAAGGATTTCCTGAAAGAATGTTTTCCATTCTTATTCTTTCCTCCTCTTGTCGCTTCTCCATCTCCTAGAAAATAAAAGGAATATTAATAATGGCACCACAAACTGAATTCATATGTCAAATGCGTGTAAAGTTTAATTAGTTGTTAAAAGACTATAATGAAATAGAAACAACTTTTCAGCATATTGTAAAGGTATAAATAAATATAAAAAGTTTACCCTTTTAGCTTGTTCTGCAGCCCTTTCCTTTTTAATACGTTGCAATTCAGCTAAGAGAGCAGCAGTATCATCTTCGTCGCTTTCTGACTCTGAATCGTCATCATCAAGGGGATCATCTGCGTCTAAACTTGCTGTAGGTACTTGATCAATTTTTTGTCTTTTAGCACTTGTTGTAGAAGTGTCTCGAGGTGGCTCTATCATACGACGATTAGAACCTTTTTCCTTTTCCCTTTCACGGTCTTCCAATTCTTTGCGAAAATCACGATTTCGCAATTCTTCCACTGTTCCTTGACCATGTTCTCTAAAAGTATGCAAGTAAGTAAGGTTATGTTTGATTACTCACAAGGTTAAAGAAATCACAGCAGACGTGTGTCTTTAATTATAAAGATATTATTAAGTAAAATATAACACCTGTATTTTAGTTTTGTATGAGACGGTAAATCTCTACTGCTATATTGTTTTGATATTGCACTTAGATCTTTTTCACCGCGTCCTTGTCCTCCTCTAGCAGGTTCAAACGTAGGTCTTGCAGCCGTAGTCATTTTACTTGATAATTATTCGATATTTTTCGGTACAGGACGTTATTAATTTTTTTTTTTATTATTAATACTTTTCACACTTTTCAAAACACAGCTGATCGTTCAACAAGTCAAAGACAAACTTATCTTAGCGTTGTATATTGTAAACTCCCGCTAGAGGTCGTCGATGTAAATCATAGATCGATATGTCATTCGATTCTATACGATTTGAGAATCGCAAATAGAATTAAAATCAGTCGTGTTTGAAACGTTGTCGTGGATACGTCGTATGAAAGTGTAATGCAATTAATTCATTTATGTTACATGAACATTTAACTTTACGAACTATTTAATTATTAATTGATCAATGTGGTTGATTAAATTTAACATGCAACAATTTCATAGTTTTGTGGTACCAAAAAGGTGACGTGTCGTAATAGTGTTTACGTATCATTGTCATTTTATTTTAATCACAATGAATTAATAAATACAGCGTTTCTATAATTATAATACATTAGTATTGTGACACCAGTGATTTAAGCCGAAAATAATGTCATCATGTCACGACAGTCCAATTATGATGCAAGTGAAAAATATGTGAGTACATTTTAAACTTATTATCACATTACAATTTATTTAAGTTAACAAACAGATTATTTTAATAATTGCACAATGCTAAAATTTAATAAAACTTTCAAGGTTATTCGATGATACAATTTTTAATACAATTCCTAACTAAGAAGTGTTACATATTCTTACAAATTCATTACACATGTAATGAATGAAAACTAATTCACAAAGCAGATTTCATATTTTTAATGCAGTGCTCAGATTAAGTTTGCTACACATTAAAATTATGATTACACTTGTATTACTTACATAGTTGCAACATTTATTTTCATGCACCATTCATTTTTATTATTGAATTTGCACATATATTGTTTTTTCCTCTCTCACATACATACATGATTCTTTTTTAATCTTTTTCTATTTATAAAAGTTCATGTTAGATGTCAATTATTGAAGCAATATATTTTGTGCGATATAGTATATATCATGGTCAGACTTATTTTTATTATCAAAGTTGTCACTTTTAACTTATTATCGGACAGCATTCTGACTTTCATTCATTAAAAATTTTTGCAACTAAAGAGGCACTCTATCTTCAAATACATTTTCTTTTAATTTCATCAGTGAAATTATAGTATTACAACTTCTTTGTTACTCTGCTTTGCTAAATAATAATTAAAAAACATATCAAATATGCGTGTAATGTACAAAATGAAGCAATAATTATTAATCATATTGCTTCTAAATTCATTCAAAACTTAAATTATTACATAATATTCAAAAATATTTGTAATATTTTTTAAATATGTTTAAAACAATGTTTTCCATTTTCTAACACATTATACATTAATTATAGAATGTAATTATTACCTCACTTGGTTTTAGAGAGCTTTAAATTTTGAAATATGCAAAATGATTGAATAAAATTTGATAAAATTATCCAATTGTGACATAATTTAAATCTAGCATAAATTTATTGTACTTAGATTTTAGCTATGAAGAATCAAATGTATTTTTATATATATATGAAATATAGATATATTGTAAGCATAGTTACTTTTCCAATAAACAATTCATAGTTCTGTAAGCATAACTTTTTCTATAGCTAATAGTATCATTTGTTACATTAATTGTATTAGTTGAGACACATAACAACATATATTTCCAAATATTCAGACATATTACTGTATAATATTAATTTACACTATTACTAGTTACTAAGTGCAGTCTGAATAAAAGAAATAATATGTCATGGCACACAAGTTTTACAACTTTCCACAGTCAAATGTTATTATTATTTCAAAGTTTATCCATATTGTAATTAAATACTACTAGTACATAAGTCTAACATTTTTAATTTACATGTTGTAATATGCAGTTTACACTCAGCCTTTTCTTTGTTTTATTATGAGAGTAAATTGTTGTACACCCATTTTGTAAATTTTCAAATTAACTGCAATTTTGAGAGTAATCATTATAATAATAGAAGTAACATAATCAATTTTTGAAAGTGTTTAATACAGTATTTAATGAATAAACTTTAAAAAAAATTTCTACGTTATATTCTTAATGTGTATATTGGTATACTCTATTTCCTAATGAAATTAAATTTAATAAAATCGATGATATAATAATAACATAATCATTTGCGATTTTATTAAAGTTTATGATTAACTTCTTGTTATTATTTATATATGCATTTATTATAAAGACTATTCTTTGCTTGCACAAATATCATGTAAGCAATTTTGTACTACGAAAATTACAAGTATATAAAGCACATAAT